ATTCATTTAATTATAATAAATAAATAAAAAAAAATTAATTAATACTCCTTCTTCGAAGTTTCGAAGTCGATCAAAAACTCACGATGTTGTTTAAAAATCGGTGTAAAACGCTACTCATAAATAGTGTGTAAGTGAAGTACCTATATCTTTGCTTTATGTACTCATATAAATATTTATTAGAGATATTACATACATTTTGATGAGTTCTCTTTGTAAGAATTTTTTAATTACCAATTACTTTTTTTATATAAGACTTTATTAATATTCTATGGTAATTGTGAATACAATTACCACCGTAATTCAGATTCAAATAAAAATATAAGAAACTTTATCCATATAATATATGTACATATAAGTTTAACAAATAATTTATTACATACTGACATAGAACAGAAAGGTAAAATATTAAGTATGTGATGAAAACACATTAAAAGCTATAATAGGCTTTATAACTAGAATAGGTACTTACTCGTAAATAAGTTACTGTTTAGTGCAACAATAAACACTAGTGTAGCGTTGGGGTAAATAAATCCTACTAAGTCAAAGCTTTATAATTTACAACTTTAAAGGTGTCTATAACATGAGAGCGAATAGTTCGAAATAATGAGATTTTTTCTTTAGTTTTGTTAGTGTCGTAGTGCCAAAGCGATACATATCTCATCTTTATACCGTGAGACCATCGAGATAAAGGCAAGGAGACCTGAGATGCGATTAATCTGCTTCATTAGAGTTCGAAATATTATAACGATGAATGCACGCGAGACAATACCAGCTGTATTTCACTATCTGAGTGTTGCAATAAGTATTTTAAACTCGCCTCGTCGATACATTGATAGCATAGCAGCTCCCTATCTTCGACTTGATCACAGGAGGCGTTTGTGTGGAGAAAGTAATGGGCAACTCCATTCGTCACGTTGCGCCTGCACCCCACACGAAGTTTATGTTTTAATGATAACTTAACGACTATGCATAATTTTTAAATAACACAACTGGTATTGTAGAGATAACGAGTGATATTTCTTCTTATTCACTGGCGTTAAATGAGAAATGTAGGTTTTTCAATGAAAATATTGATGGGGGAGTAAATTAGTTTAATGGTCATCTTATCATTAGAAAACGAATATATTATTTTTATTGTAAACAAATTTTTTGACTAAAATGAAATGATCTGATGTTTCAAAAATCTTACATAATAATATAGTGTGACGTTAAAGATTCGTCAAGAAGGCGACCGCCTCGACTCGCCCGCCCACGCTCGTACCACTTTCCAAATTCCTCGTGTAAGCGCTGCAGTCTTCTAAGTGCGCTCAACGCGACCGCGACTATCTTTTTACTATTTTCAGCTTTATATCCAATAGATATGTATCTATATTCGCATATTACACGCAGAGTATGTTATTAAAATTGATAAGAATAAAATATGAGACAGCTTTTAAACAGCTGCCTCGTCAGACGTGTATATTGTAATTACACGCAATTGCTATAATAGTTAAATGTTCTATTTTAATTTTATAACATATATTACTATTTTATTAGATAGAGCTTCAAATAAAATGATATTTATATGAATATAAAATTGAACGTACTTATTACTCTTAAAACTTTATTAAGCTTCCGTTTTACAAACAAACCACATGAATAGTATATGTTGCGACAAAAGTAGTTATCCCTAGCGATTCACCGCTGCGCTCGACTCTCGTACATGAATATTCAGGGCGTAGTAAGGCGGCGAGTCGTTCGGCAATAACTGTTAACTTGGGTCATATTGTGCTCTATGTATTATCTCTCACCCTGCGGCCATTGTGCTACTGGTGACCCATCGAGTCTTCTATGATACAAGTTCTAGCTACACGTATAAAGCCCATATTTTTATGGAAATAGGGTAAAATACCGAGTAAAATTTTAGATTGGTTGCTCAATATGATTATTTTTGGGGCGTTGTTTCAATATAATTCAACCAATAAGGTTAATTTACGAGTCATTTGTAAATTAATGTATCACAAGATAACCGTTTGTTTATGTTGATGAAGGTTGCACAGAATTGCGAAGCCTCCAGTATACGCGCGGGTCTCAACTCGCGCACGCGTCTCGGTGGCGCCAACTCGGACTCTTGCGCAACGGCGTGTTCACCGAGTTTTTACGATTCGCTCCAATCAAAAGTTTCTCTTCTCCATATAAAGATACTTAGAATGCTTTTCTTTTTTTAACAGCAGAATAGAATAGCTTAAACAAAAATATGAAGCTTCAATTTTTAGTGTTATTGCTTTACGCTTATACAACAATTTACGCCCATTTCCATATACGAGGTACAGTCAAGAAACGGGATACTTTACATAAAAAGAAAAACATAAATGGACCTAAATGTGTTTTAAACGACACGATAACTAACGATTACGAGATTCTGTCGTCGGCGGTGTCAGAATCTAAGTATATTTTCACAGCTCGAGTCCTCCGCGTTAGAAAGATTAAACGAGGTAGCAAACTTAAAGGAAAAATTTTTATGTCATATAAACTGTATGTACGGTTAGTGATGAAGGGAGATGTGGCCGAGTTGAGGAGCCATGGGGTTTTAGGAAACGAACGGACGTTGAATGGGGCAATTGTGTTCGTTGACTGGTTACGAACGAGTCAGTGCGCGTATAAGTTGTATAGACATTCCTCAGGCATATTTTTAAGCGATGGATTTTATGACAAATATAGTTGGAAGACGCCTCGTATGCGATTGTTGTACGAGCCTCTTCCACTGTCGCTCTACGATTTGGATAGAGTGAATGCCGCGCTAAAAGGTAAATGTTTACTATCCTATTATGTTTCATTTTATACGACTTATGATTGTTTGTGTACACATGTTATAAAAGCGTTTGTTTGCTGTAACGTTTTCACAGCGACGGCCTCTTCTAAGTAAGTCTCTTAGCAGTAACGGTGTTACTTTATAAAATGAATGGTAAATTCACTAGTATATAGCTAAACTAGCATTGCCCGCGGCTCCGCCCGCGTTCAGATGACCAAAAGCAAAATTCTTAGATTTTACATATTAGTATACTGGTACATTGCAGTTTTTGTCTCTTTTCTCAGAAATGACTTATTTTCGCGCGGTAAAAAGTATCCTATATAATGACCCGGATAACCAGTTATCGCCATACCAAATTTCATCAAAATCCATCCAGTGGTTTTTCTGTGATGCGGTAACAGACCGACAGACAGACAAAAAATCTAAAAAGTATAGATTCGGATTCTCTATCGATAATAATGTCTATTTCAATAAGATTTTCCAAAAAATATTTAATGTACAGATTCGACTTAGTTACAATTTTATTATATGTATAGATTAATAATATTTATTTCAATAAGATTTTCCAAAAAATATTTAATGTACAGATTCGACTTAGTTACAATTTTATTATATGTATAGATTTATTGTGACTTAATTTGCATTATCAACATAATTAACATTTGTAGCAATATATTAGACGATACTGAAGTCTAGTTCGTTTCATTATAAACTTTGATTGTATATTTAACTGTATAGTTTTTACGATTTTAAGTGGAGTTGTCTAGACAGATTTTAATTTAGATACTTTTGTTACACGTTAAAAGTTGACGTTACTGATGTGAACACTCGTAAAAACTTGTATGATCGTCAAGCATATATATTCTGGTGTTAGATTGAGAATAACAGTTAGTGATTTTAGTTTGTTTTTCATTGGCAACCAATATTAAATAAAACATTTGCTTTAACCAATAAATACTCTTGGAATTTTGTGACTACTGGGTGTGAAAATTGTATATGAGCTACGAGTATGTGCCGCAATACTACATTAAAGCGGCAGCCTTGGCGTTGAAGTAATTTTTTACTCGACTGCGGCGAAGACCAAAGGAGAGTTATGTGTTTGACCTGTATGTATGGCATTTACCTCGGTGATCCAGTGGCTAGCACGTACGGCTGATCTGGAGATACTTCGCTTCCCCGTCCGGGCCAAGTTTATTAACCGAGTTTTTCTGTAAGCCAATTCTTAGTAACAGTCCGGAATTGGGAAGTCGGTGATATTTCACTGCTATGTCTTTGAGACCCCGTAGGACTGTTGGTCCTGATCTCTCACAGGTCACATTGTGAAAGGAATTGAGAGTGGACTTGTTTCTACGCGCATGCTTGTGTGTACTCAGAAACATTAAAGCATGTATCTGTTAAACTAGAAGGCGAGCCATCGTTGCGTCGAGTAAATTCCAAGGTTTTATGCATAGATTAGCTAAGTAGTTGTAATTTGACTTGTAGCACCACACTGATGAAGTAGGTTAATATTTAATAGAACAAAACCTTAAGTATGAACGATAAAATCAAATTATTTTCTTTAACTAGTCATTACATGATGTCGATACGCATTAAGTCCTAAGCAAAACGGTAGTTATAGTACTCTAGTGGTACACTAGATACGCAAAAATAAGCTGAATTGCTTGCTAATAAAAAGGAAAGTGGCATGAACAGTTTTCTATAGCCATCAATTATACGCAGACAGCACCCCAGTCAGGTTTGAACGTTTTATTACCAGCTATACGCACATAGTTTAGCTAGCTACGAGTTAAGTGATTTATTTTTCAAAAATAATCGTGTTATTATTTGAATATATCGCTTCTTTTAAATTTTTATATTGAGTATGTGCTACTTGGAACTTTCAAATTCTCAAAACTATTTCAATATATTTATTACATGTTTCAGCACTTTTGCCTGTAATATTATTATTACAGGCATATATTATTAATACAAAATATTTTTAATAGATTAATCAAATTATGGTTCTTTGTGCTTGTGCAATTACTAGGTACGTCTATTAAATACACCTTCAGAAATAGTTACATTTGTAATGGAGATAATATTGTAGTCTATAAAAAAATTGAAAAGATATTTCAATTGCTACTTGGATTCTGTAGGGTTTAATTAAAATATAGAAGAATGATAAAATTATTAATTTATAATTAAATATTCAAATTTCTCACAGGGATTACAATTTGCTGGCAGGGAGCTTTTGTGGGATTTGTTTTGGCAGAAGCGTTTGCAGTTTTCGTCTCAAAATTTTGCCACTGGCTGTTTTGGGTATCTCTTTTAGGAATATAACGCCACCTCTCAGCTTTTTCCAGGGCGACACCTGAAAATAGAGCGTGGTTGCAAAATTGCTATCTTAGAGCTCTTACTTTTCTTTTTGAAGTTCAAAAATTATATGAACAAAGACATTATTTTGATATTATATTAAACAGAAAATACATTTGTTGCAAATAATATTTTAACATAAATCGTAAGTAAGTTATCTTACCCAACACTTACCTTATCAGAAACGAAGTCTATAATTTCTTGTTCTGTAACATTAGCATTTGGTTGCTTCACTACAAACGCTGTAGGCAGTTGGCCTGCCAACGTATCCGGCGCCCCCGTCACTCCGACATCTTTAACTGCCGGGTGTTGAAGTATTATCGCTTCGAGCTCTGAAGGCGAAACCTGCAAAAATGATAAGGCGATTCGAAAATATGTAATCTCTATTTTGTTTTTTTCCACGAAGAAAAAAGCAATTATTAATATATAATATGTATACCTAGTTAATAATTATGTATTCAATATAAAAGTACAACAAGTTACCAAATATTGTTAAAAGAATGTTTTGAAGTATTTTTCGCGATAAACTTCCTTTCCAAAACTGTATATTTACAATGAAAAACTGATATAAATCTACGTACTTGCCATGCCTTATATTTGATAATCTCTTTAATTCTATCAACTATATAAAAGTATCCGTCTTCGTCATAGTACGCAATATCTCCAGTTTTGTAAAACCCATCATTGTCAAATTCATTTTTCATGTCTCTTCCGATATAGCCTTCAAAAAGAACTGGACCTTTGATGCAGACTTCGCCTGGTTCATTGCATCCTAATATTTTATTAGTCTCTGGGTCAACAATCTATAAATAAATTATATACAATACTATACAAATTTTAGTAAAGACTAACCTCACCACAATTGACAAAAAGGAAGAAACATTTTATAAAATAATAGTTGTCGTAATACTTTCTTAGATTTACTCGAATATTTGACATCTATATATATATATAAAAGAAAGTCGTGTTAGTTACACTATTTGGTGAGCCGCTAGTTTTAAATAAAACTATCTTTTCCGATTATTTTTTGTCTATATAGGTAGCAATAGATTTGCTCAATATTTTAACTTTAAATAATAGCAATCTAAATTAATATTTTAACTTCTTTAATAATAACAGCAAGAATTTAATAAATAATATTGCCATATTTAATTATAATATATTTTTTTTAATGTTTAAAAATAAAAATCAACAAATATTGTAAGGTACTTTATTGCCATTTTTGAATTTTTGAAACCAGTTTAAATCCGCGAAATAATCCGAAAAGATAGTTTTATTTGTAAAGTTAGTTGTCGTTTTTGAAAAATTAATTATGGCAACATAAGGTATCAGCATGCCAAATGTTACTAAATTAGGTGCATAAGTTGTTGTGTACTAAACTGTGCATAAGTTGTTGTGTACTATAGTTTTTTAACTATCTCACTGGAACTCTTTAATACAGAGAAACAAAGAAATTTAAAAAGAAACTGGATTTGTTCTATTTCTATTCTTACATTCCCCTCACTGGGTTTTTAAAAATTTGGCCCGGTTACTGGTTTGTTGCCTAGATTTCCTAGCACATGAGCTTATAAGTTAATAATATAGTTCCTAGAGATGGGAGCTCTAATTTAATGCTGAATTGAAGGATTACGAACAACGTTTGTAATTAATATGTCTGTAACATATATTGAATATAAGCTCGAAAGAGTTTATGTTCCGAAAAAATAATCAATTGTTAAGTCACACTTAATGAAAATATATAAAAGTCGAGCGCGAAGTAGCAGATTGAATAGACAAACATTTAATTTATTAATATTGGTTTTTATCATTAAAAGGGATTAAAATAATACAAAGTGTTATTAATAGGAATTAAAACAATAAGAAATAATAAAAAGTAGAGTAAGCGAGAAAATCATCTGATTATGAAATAATCAATTATTGCGTTACGTTTTATTATACCTTAGCAATGATTCCTGGCACTACTCTTCCAACGCTTCCCTCTTTAGCTGCATCTTCTAGTTCTTCGGTAACAGCCCCAGTCGCTTCTGTCATGCCATATCCTTGTAAAACATGTTTTATGTGTGGAAATCTAATAAAGAGTAAAATTACCATTAAATACCTAGTGAGCATAGGTAATATTATATATATGTATGTATGTATAATGTATATATGTCTTTTTAGGTCACTAAGCCCTTACAGAAATTATTTTAAATCTAACATTATATTAAAATTTGATAAATACTTCTTATTGCCCATGTTAATAATATAAATAAGGGATATATATGTAATCATATAATATTATGATTAAATATAACAGCCATACTTAGTTTAAATGTCAATATAAATATCACCTGTCTTTTAGTTTACGAATGCTTTTAGCATGAACAAGAGCACCACCAGAGTAAATAATTTCAATAGTAGATAAGTTATAATCACTTGCAATCATTGATTTATATAACATAACGATAAGTGGTGGTGCTACGTAGAGCATGTCAATCTGAAATAAAGTATTTTTTCTAATAATATTACAAAAATATCATAATATTTAAATAAAATGTATTAAGAACTTAAGATTTTATCTCACCTTATATTTTTCAATAGTTCTTAAGTATTGTTTCTCATTGTACTTTTGTAAGAACACTAAAGTTCTTCCATAAGCGATTTCTCGTAATGTGCAAGTTAACCCAAACGTGCTTGACCATGGCGCAATTGTTAGTGGTTTTAACTTGGTAGTAGTCATCCTGATAAATATAATAAGTATAATTAAAATATAGTTTATCTTTTTCTTCAGTTTAATAAATTATATTTTTTATTTAAATAATATGTTTAAATTATTAGTTAACTGAAGTAAAAATCGATATAAATCCACGAAAAAATCCGAAAAGAATATTTTTAGTCAAACATTCAAAAATCTAAGAAAGTATTAGTTTGAAAGTTTTATTCGTACAACATTTGACTGATCTGAACAACAAATTGAATGAAATTTAACGGGCAATGATGAAAAAAAGTCGTATAGTCAAAACTATAAGCAAAACATCACGCTTTAAACTTCGGGACTAGCATCCAGTTACAGGTTTTTCGATTATACTCTCTGAGTTTTACGTTAATAATTTTAACTCACTGATAGAATTGTTGTTGTGAGCATACGCATGATTCGGATTTATAAGATTAAATTACATGCTCATATTTTAAATGTAATCAGATCACAGTGTGAATATCTATGTGTGTAAATACTTAATCTCCACCATGTCTTCTCCATTCTACGACATTGGCCAAGTAAAATGTTATTGTTACATAAATTGTGCAAATTTTATTTTTAATTCGTTATCATTTCTTATCATTACAAGAAGTAATGCAAACATTATACGAATATGTTAGTTAAGATAATACTCACATCGGCTGTTGGCATACGGTAATCAAATTTTGATGACTTATTTTAGCTCCTTTGGCTAGACCAGTCGTGCCCGAAGAATAAAGTATCGTACTTGTTTGGGTTGTCCCTTTAAAAAAGATGTTATTTAAATTTTGGTTATTTACATAATTTAAATCTATAAAAGTTAGTAAGAGTAGCAATAAATTTGACGAGCGACAACCTTATGTCAAAGTTCATGTAGATCATCAAATTTGATTTCTTCGTATGAAATAAAAAAATGGGAGTCCCAAGAATCCCATCTTATATTAGTATTTATTAATCCTTACCTTTAAAGTCATAAGCCTGGTAAGTTTTAATATCAGCATAATTTTCCGCTAGATTTTTAAAGTATAGACAGTTAGTATGATTGGATACGTCATCATACAAAATACATTTAATAATTGTTTTAATACTTTTAATATATTCATGTGTTGTAAAAGTTTCGCTTGATAGGAAGATGTATGTGGCCTTAGATATAGTGAGAGCATTTATCAAGTCATCTGTAAATTAAAAAAAATCATTAATTTTTTATATAGATTCTAAATATGAATATGTCAATTTTAAATATAAATTGAATATTTTAAAGTGAAGCCTCGATAGGATACATTTTTTTTTATTACACTGAGTGAATTTAATGCCATTGAAGTATTACTTTATATAATAATTAGTAATTAAATTATTATTATAAAATAATTATTATTTTTTATATATTGTAACATTAATAATATTTAAATAAAAAAAATTTTAATCGATCCCGCTGTTTGGAAATTATGATGCTATATACAGTCTAAACACAGACTGAGCGTCAACCTTGTAAAACCTCTCTGAATCGGGGATTAAAAGCAGTACGATAGTTTAACAAAAACACAAATGTCTTAAATAAAACTATTTTTCTGATTATTTTGCGGATTAATTTTGATTTTTGGTTCCCGACGTTTCGAATGCTTTACAGCAATCATGGTCACGGGAGAGACTGAGGTGTTAGATGTCTCCAAGATATAGTTGTTACAGACAGCCTACCCACAAATAACAAAATGAAAAATTGCACCAAGTACCTTACAATATTTTATAACTTAAAACATTTTTACAATTTTAAAATTATTTATTTAATTTTGCTGTTATCATTATAATTATTAGGACAGAGTCATACCACCGGTATGTATAAGCTCATAATATAAACGACGACAGAGCAATCGGTGAAGAACTTTAAGAGATCGTTAATCTAGGATTGTTCGTTTATGCATAACGACAGGATACATTTATACATATATCGTGCAGACTTATACCTACGTATATAGAACTTTTACCTTTGGTGTAAGCACTGTTGAAGAAGGTAACTGTAGCTCCTGAACAGTAAACTGCTATTGCTGTCAATATGTATTCAATTCTATTTTCACTAAATACGGCAACTGTGTCACCTTTTTTAATACCAAGGTTTAACAGAGATGTAGCAACATTAACTATCTTTTGGGCCATTTCTTTGTAGCTAATTTCCTCTCCTGTCGAGCCATTTATCTATACAATAGATTTATAACTGCTTATTATACGTAGTATTAATTTTATTGTAACATTGGAAAGCTTAGAAATAGATATTTATATAATAATTTATCAAAGTACTACGTAGAAAATAATAGTGTCGAACCATGGACATTTAGATGGTTTTAAAGATGATAGGTAAATATTAAATACTAATATAATATTATATTGATATTTATATTATACTAGCAGAACTCGCGGCTGCGCTCGCTCTAAAACTACAAAAATCCCTAAAAAGGTAGTTTCATACAAACTTTCATCCCCTATTTTACCCCCTTATAGGATGAATTTAAAAAAATGCTTAAACACGTATTTAATTAATTTTATTGAACAGCATTAATACCAAGTTTCAAGTTATTCTGGTCATATTTTTTTTGTATTGTATTATAACGTGTTTTCCCGTGAGAAATAGATAATCTCCCGTGGTAAAAAGCAGTCTATGTAACTCCTTTTCGATGTGAAAGAAGGACAAACAAACAAACAAACAAACACACTTTCACATTTATAAGTATGGATATATTAAGTTGATAATTAACTCGGACATAATTTTCTTATGACAAAAGCTTGCATTTAAATTATTCTTGAATCGTTTTTGTTTTTTGATGTCAGTTTAATTTATTGCAACGAACATCTTAAGTACTTGCGGGTTCTTTTGTGCACATTCATTTTGTAAAGTCGACTTGACACCGCTTACAACTAACCTGGTCTCGATTTTTATGTTTGAGATACGAGCTTACATAGTTGGTGTTTTTTTAAAGAACGTTTATTTTGAGACGAATCTAAAGTTAGGTGTAAAATCAACAGTTCATAACATGTTGTTATATTTGTCTTTTTGTTGCTCAAGGGTACATTAAATTCATAAGATTTTTAATATTTTAATTAATCTACAATCAAAATTTTAAAAAGAGTAATATCTGTATAAATATTATACATAATGTGAAAGTTTGTGAGTATGTATGGATGTTTGTTACTCTTTCACGCCAGAACGGCTGAACGGATCTGGATGAAATTTGACACAGAGATAGATTATAGTTTTGAATAACACATAGGCTATTTTTTATTCCCAATAAAACACGGTTCCCGGGGGATAGATTTGTTTTTGACTTCTAGAGGTGAACCCGAGCGAAGCGAGGGTGAGTTGCTAGTTTAGATATAAAAGGACGCTCTAAGTGTCATTTTACTGTAGAACAAATTAACAAATATTCTAGCAAAAAATTCCATTATATATATTTAATTAAAACTCACCAATGCGGCTTTGTCACTGTCATGAGCCAAAATTTTTTGTAAAACAAATGCCCCAAAATTTAAATGCGGTGGCATGCAAAAGTTTTGATCGCCATATATAATACCATTATTTATTTGTGTTTTTAACATATTCGCAGCTAGTGTACTTTACTTTATCACAATCAAAGTAGACTGATGTATATAGTTGATAAGAAGAGGTGTAAGTCACGGACATACTATCTAATCTGCTTTAGACCTCCCGCTACTATAGGAATTTCAGAATTGTATATGGTTATTACAATTTGACAAGACGGCATAGCTCAGAGAGCTTAATGTTAAAATTAAAATCCATCATAGCCAGCCAATATTTTAAAAATTAAGTTACTTTAAAGTTTTAAACTAACTTTTAAAATATTGATTGGCTATGATGGATTCTAATTCGTGAATTAATCGGTGAAGAACGATTCTAAAGTGCAGCGCTTGTCGTGGTCAAGCTAATTGAAGTTTTAATTTTTTTTTAAATAAAAATTGATCAGCCGAGAAATGATATGATATGAGAGGCCAGAATTAAAAGAAAACTACTAAAATTGGTCTCAACATTCTGAAATATGTATACATGTTAAAAGAATTCTTTATAAATCTGATCATGTAAGTGTGACAGAGCTTAATATTTTGCTTATTTTATATCTTTACTTTGTGATTATTATTAAACCTAGTTTAAATTAATTTATCTGAAGCCTGAACAGGTTTTAATTCGTTAAAAATGAAATGAAATCGAAAAATAAAAATACTATATTTTTCAATTCAATTTTCTTGTTAATAAAATTAAAGTTGAGCAGATTACTTTACCAATGTCATATAGAAAGGAGAAGAAGACACGAAGGAGATTGGTTGGTAATACTACATTCTTAGAATCTGGCTCTCTTGTATCAAATTTTTATCACTACTTATTGCCTATAGATTAATATTGTGATACAAGATTGTAGATCTATTATCTATAAATATTTTAGATAAACGCTTTATTTTTTCTGTTTTATTTAGCCTAGTGGCAATGTAGGTCATGGACCAAATATATGTATTTACTATTAATTTTGGTCAAGTATAACTCGGAGCTTCAAAAATGGCTGTGTTACAGTCTCGAACGTCGTAGACCAATTATTTAGTGGTCCTGCTTCGGTCCTCATCGGACTATAAGAATTAGAGGAATAGAGAATGCAGGTGTATTTTTGTTTTTTTTCCTGCCAGTCCTAATTTTTTTAATTATTAATTCTTGCAAATGTATGTTAGGTAAATACAAATTTATAAATTATCCCTACCTACACCTATACACAGACTTTTTCAAACCATATTCTCATATTTAACAACTTTTTGTTAATTTATATTTATATGTATGATTTCTATAGTAAAATAATGTAGTTGCCTTGTTTCTATTTGCAACAGGTAACCTATATACGTTCAGTACTATAACTACGTCTCTATAAATCTATGTTTTATGCTAATAGTAGTTGAGAAATGTATCATCTTAGTCACAAAGACACAAACTATTTCTGTAAAGACATTTCAACGCAATCATGACTCGACTTGTTTCTAAGAATAAATTAAATTTGCGCAATAAATAGAACTTAAATCCAAAGTGATATTTTACAGAAGTATCTACATATATTTAAGTTATTTTACTCGAACATTATACTTTAAATAAAACGGCATAATTTTTTGTCCACAATCTATTGCTCAGAAAATGACATAATAATACTATCTTTTATCTTGGTAAATATATCAAATGACTATCGTAAGATTGTAGACTATTGCAAACGGTTAGAAGACCAATGGATGTAAATGGATCAATACGTACATCTTGGTCAAACTGTATGAATCGGTCGGCACAACATTGAGAAGAGGCTAACAGAAGAATACACTACACACGATCGTTTGGGAAGTTGCATCATAATTTTGAGTCCTCGATCCCACAGTCCTTTAAGGCCAGGGTAAAAACCACTACTACGCTGAGTTTAAGTGGTTTATCTGGTCATCGTGGTAGATGTATTTATGGTTTGACTGAACTATCATGTGTTTTATTATTTGTCAGCTTTATCGACCATCGATAAGGGAGATCGAAATTAGGACAAAGTAGTGTATGGACGCCGTGCAGTGGATCTGATGGACCGAAGACTTAAAAATGTGGCAGTCACTCTATGTGGACGATAATAGTCTGGATAATAAAATAAATTTTGCAGTAAACAAGTACTACAGAGTTACCTTAAGGAACTAAGTACTTAGTACATATATGAGACAGCGATTCACGATGGATTTGACTCGAAGATATTATTATTATTTAGGTATACGTATTATCACTAGCAGTGCGCATTTATCCAAGAACATACCGTCGTTACGATAGACGTAGATAAAACAAATTGCCTCTCGATTATATATTTTCTTAATCATTTTCTTATGTAAAAAAGATAACGCCAGATAAATAAAAGATAAACATGGCAATATTAAAATTTGAGTTTTGTATTTCTGTAAGTAAGATTCTAATTTAATTATCCCGTTGGTCTAGCGGCTAGCATATACGGTTGCAGATTATGAAGTCTTTTGTTCGAGTTCCGGGCTAGTAGCAGCAGATAGCTGGATAGTTGGCGGTGTTCACATACCCCTGAGAGAATATTAAGCTATCGTTTCTGATCCTGATATATTACTGGTCATGTGGAACTGTTAGGATATGAGAGTATAAAAAGTAGTCGGAGATACATATGAACTTGTAGAGTTTAATATCTCTAGGGCAGTTTGCTTATCCTAGTGAGATTGGTTTACGAGATCGACAACAATTAGGAGGATATTGTTATAAAGTAACTTCATAATTAACTGAGTGTGAGTACATATTAAGTTTCAGAAACAGTCCGTTTTAATTTAAGATTTATATCCAAGTTTTATATATATATTTTTATACCTGCATTGGGTACCCTTAATTATAATACTTTGACCTAATAAGTCAAAAAACACTTCAACCTGTACACAACAGTCACAAATTGTATTACATAGCTGTTACATAACGCACGGACTCAAATTAAATATTAATAAATAATTTATTATCTATGATAATGGGATATATCTACTACGTAATAAAATAACTAATAACAGTGATAACATATACAATTTTATGTGATGGATTTGAAGCAATTTTGTTTATTTAAAACTAAACTAGTAAATTCACTTAAAGTAGTTGGCTAAATTAATTGTTGACGTAATTATAAATAAATGAAAATAAATTTATATGTTTGAGAGAAGTGTTAGAGTCGAAGTTAGAAGTTCTGTTAACCAGTCTATCAATGATATGGATCTCTTTATAGTGTTGTTTGCGTATATGGCAAAGTCCTAGGTTCAAATTTAACTGACTTCTCACCAGTGGGTAAACGTAATTTGTTGGTACGCCTGCGTACAAGACTGGCTCACCCACGCTTGATACAGCCTAGACTATTCTAGTGTACATAACTGTTTTAAATATTTGATAACTCATAGTATATAGTGATAGTGTAAAAAATTTTGAAAATGAAGAATAACTTCACGCAGATTCGCTTGCAAAGTGTTTAGAGTACTAAGGGATTCATTGTTTATCGTTTTTCTATACAATGTAAATAAAAAAATAATAAAATTATATTGCTCAACTTGCATTGCCCGCGGCTACGCCTGCGTTCAGATCACCAAAAACCAAATTTCATCAAAATCCCTTCAGTGGTTTTTCTGTGATGTGGTAACAGACAGACAAAAATTCTAAAAACTATAGATTCGGCCTCTGTATCGATAATAATGTCTATTTCAATAAGATTTTCCAAAAAATATTTAATGTACAGATTCGGCTTAGTTACAATTTTATTATATATATTATATATAGATGTATTTTTCCAATTTGTTATCTAATGCTTTGAGAATAGTTCACCTTTATGTACAATATACCTACTATATAATATACCTACTCATGGCAATGTGACTCACAGAGCTGTAATATTTTATGCCATAATCGTACCAATAAGTGGAGGTTGTTCTGGTTAATTGTATCTCGAAAGTTGGTTTAACTGATGAATCATTTTTGAGCAACCACCTATAGCATATTTTAAGATAAAAGATCTTTTATTAAAGTAATGCTACTAATTCATATATCAAAAAGTACATTTTTAGTGTGCAACAAGCAGTGGTAGTCTAAAAATCAATTAAAGTGGATCTAAATCCTGGACTTTGCACCTCTGATAATTATTTCACGTGCAAATCTTATATTCAACATAATAACTAATTGCCATTATAGTGTAGAAAAGCATCTTAGTGAAACTCTTATGGGAATAAACTGGTATTATCTTACTAGTTTTCTTAAAAGATGTACATCTCATTGGGCCAGCTTAATAGGTTTGGTAAATAGGGATGTTTAAAAAGTCATAAATATATATACATAGTTATAGGTATATAATTGATTTCAAATATTTATGGCTGTAATTTAAAATACAACTTACTCATTCTATATCTGACAATTTCTTACTAACAGACCCCCTATACTTAAGAGACATCTCATGGAAATGTGATGGGACCGAGTTTATTCAAGGTTAATATCCTGATTCATTTAAGTATCAAATTGTAGGACGTTACTACACTGCAGATACATTTATAGCTTTCTATATTTAAAACTAGTATTGCCCGCGGCTCCGCCCGCGTTCAGTTGACCAAAAACCAGATTCGGCTTTGTTACAATTTTATTATATGTATAGATTAGATTGTAATTAAAATAAATTTTACATGTTTGTCTGCTATGTATGTATGGGTCGTTTTTGATGAATTTATTGAAGTGATTTCGTAAACTTTACAATATATTATTCTGAATAGATGAACATAAAGGTACAGTATGGTGCATGTATGAGTATAAAGGTCGATATTAATAAAAATAAAATTCATTTTTATTCCTTAGTCCTAGTCTACGAGATTATATGATCTGTGGTCCTAGTATGTAAATGAAAAATTGATTCGGAGTAAGTAAGATTAAGTTTGTTTATTACACAAAAATATTAAAAATAAAAAACATGAAATCAAGTTCATTTAAATTTTAAGTGGACAGT